TAGTTAAGTAGGGAAATTTGCATTCCTCGTGATATGTTCAGCTTACGGTCTTATTTTTGTAGTCCTCTTGCAAAGGTATATAATCAAACGTGTTGAATTGAGCAAGTACGGGAAATTGACAGCTCTATCGAAGAAACTGCTGTTGGTGCGGTGAAGATTTGGCAACAGGCTCAATTTTAGGTCTCTGTGAAGCGTGTATTAGAGACAAGTAGTGTGCGTTGTCATAAACGCAGGGCTTGTTTTGGAGAATTTGCAATATTTATCTCTATGAGTGGCCGCCGCCACGCCGGGGACGCGTACGAGAAAAGGGACGTAACCGCCGTATATAAATGTCTCTTTTAGAGGGTTTAACTTTGAGTTTTTGCCATAATGGGAAAAATTAGTAATGCAGCCATGGCCTACTTCTGGCACGGAGTATAAAGAGTATCATATGCTTCGTGCTTCTGGCTTTAGTCACATGGTCTTTCCAAACTGAGTTTATTATTCATGACGACACCAGATAAACAGCCTTATTTACAATAGGCACATCTATGTCAAAAGTTTTAGTCACATTTAAGGGTTCTAGGAGTCTTCTTACGGATAATAGCAACTGCGATTCTTGCGCATTGATAGCAATACGCCATTTGTGCACCAATGTTCCACTGCGGGGATGAATGCTCTGTAATTAGAAACTGCTATTCGGCTCTGAGGGAAGTCGAGCTAACGCAGTATCGTCCGCGTAGCATCCTAGGAAAGTGTGTTGTCCAGGTTATACTTTGGGAAATCTGCGACGTAAAACAAATAAAGGATAGGTCCCAAAATTGACCCCTGAGCCACGCCGGCATTTAAAAGTTGACATTCAGATTTGACACTACCAATACTGACATAGAATTTTCTGTCCTTAAATAAAGGAATTGATTAAAAGTATGAGGTCTCTATCCAAATCAGCAGATACGAGCTTAAAAATAAGCTCCTCATGCCAGCCGCGCTGGCCTTCGCCACGTCCAGCATGAGTAAGGCAACACTTTGATTCTTATTAATGTAAACAAATCGGGTTGACATTAAGAACAGGGGTATTTGTTATTATTTGTACCTACGGTACGCCGTCTCTTATTGCATAAATGGTCGAATAGTAGGAAGAATTTTGACGCATTTTGAGTGCCAGGATTAGTTTCCGAACTAACCACATACAAAACCTGATTACTACTTAGGCGCACGAAAGCCTTGATTTGACAGCCATCTTATAATACCTCAAAATCCTGCAATTTCTGATAAAACCAAAGGCATCTGGCATGGGAGGTCACATAGGGGGGAAAAATTTGTGCTATGAGCCCCAAACTGTTTAATCGGTCCTTGCCATATGACTGATCTGTATTATTTGTGCAATCTACATTACACCATTTCTTTAGAATATTACGCGTATCTTCTCTTCATTATCATCGTGCTTAATTTCGAAAAATGAAAATCTAATAATCTGGCGTTATAATCCAACTACGAATAAAGGGGTTTAAAAGAAAACTGTATAAAGGCTTTAAAAGGAAAATGTATAAATTGCTTCTTTCGATAATTCGCGATTATCGAAAATAGCAATTTATACAAATGAATTTGGGAAGAAAAGAAAATTGAGGGGAAAAAAAAAAAAAAAAAAGAAAAAAAACTGAACTATTGGGGGGATATATATATATATATATATATTACGCGTTTTGTTTTGGTTCCTAATGTCTTGACTTCATGTACGTATATATGAAATATGGCGCTCATAAATATGTTTATTTCAATGAAGAGCACAAAACTGTGTCTGCATTTTGCAGCTCTGTTTTTTTTTAATAGTTCATGAAGCAACGCATAATAGATATTAAAGTTTTTACATCTTTCCGTTTTTAAATTCTTTCTGAGATGATTCAGTTTAAAGATGCAGTATATTTCTTATACTTTTGTTCACCAAGGCACTTGTTTTAATGGGACATCCGAATGTACAAGAAATAAAAGTATAGGTATTCACTCTAGTGCATGAGAGGTGCTTTCTGTACGGAGCGCGAAATCACTTTTATGTGAGGCTGAGTATCTTGAAATACAGATCTAACTTATGAATAACTTAATGAACTAATTATTCATCTTTATGAAGTAAACTTTATGGATCTTGTAAGTAGGATTTGTAAGTTGATGACAGTACTGTACCGTCAAATACGAAAGGCTTGATTTTCTTATAAGCTTTTATTTAGTTTCATGCATGGTGTTTCACTGTGAAATACTCAATCGTCTGTGAAAAACTGTTTCATTTTGTTTTGTTTGCTTAATTTCTTTTATACATAGTTCTAGCTTTATTATAGTATTTGAATAGAACATGTGGCAACGATTAGGTAATTCTTTAAATGATATAAATTTTGTGCATGAGTTATAATATGAACGAAATATAATACTGTTAAGTAAACCTAGCGCCAGAGTGTCGCTATGGTAAACAAAGTGAATTTTAAAGAATGCATTTATTCTATTGTGGTTTATGCGCTGTCGGCGAAGTAGGTTTAATTCAATCTAATAAGTTTAAATTAAATGCAAGAAAAATGCGTATAATTTAATATTCCGTACAAGGAAGTCATGTGGTGTACACATCAGATTTTTTTTCTTTAATATACGGTGTACTATTAGGAAAGTTATGGAGTTTTAAATTCCGATATCAGAGGCTGATTGACGAAAATACAGTTTCGGAGAAGGAGTAAAAGATATATTATCATTTACTAAAATTATAATTTTGATAAGATTAATAATAATAGAGAGAACAAAATAACATGGTATTTCAAATCAGGAAGTTAAGAACGAGCACAAGTTGCTACTATATTAACTGAACTTGAGTTCCTCGGAATCTAATTTCTTTTCCATTGCTACGCACTCCAAAAGCAGCAACAACCACAAAATGTATGACAGAATCCTACTCTAAATATGTTTTGGGGCTCTTTTCATTTAGATCTGTGGTGGCGAACCTTTTTGGGGCCGCGTGCCCAAAACCTCTGTGATTAAATCCCCATCGAAGAGCGGTTTACCATATTTTGCCAGGCACAGTGAAATTTGAAAGCTGGCCGTTGTTAGACGGTATATTTTTAGAAAGATAATTGCAAAAATCAACTTTCTGGTAATTATAATTCCTCAATTTCCCCTTCAATAACACCGTTCGTTCAGCTTCTTTAAGTTCGGCAGCAATCTCGTGGTTAACGTTAAAGTGACGTAAGGTGAAAAGTAAGCTGTAAGTAAAGATAAGTAAGTAAAACGTTCAAGAACAGACTAAAACACTTATTTAAATTACATAGTATCATTTTATTGTGATTATTAATTAAGGAAGTAATATTTTAGTCGCGTGCCACATGTTCGCCATCACTAGTTTAGAAAGTCCCTAACCAGCAAATGTTTGCAAATGACTTAGCGTTAGCTCAGTGTACATCTGCTCTTTCTTGAGAAAGGGGGTAAAATGCGAAAAAGAAAATTTTTTGCTGGTGGTTCGGATATTGGGTTTTGTAGGGATATCGAACTTAGTACTGTATACAGCTTTCGTCGGCTTGGGCAAACTCGATAGGTTCGCTGTTACGGGTGCCCACGTGTAGACGCTATCCCGGCATAATGATTCAGATTTAGAGAGTCTGTCATGCGTAGTGTTTACATATTAGAATTAAATAACATAAAATGACAGTAAACATAAATGCATAGTGAAAATATATACATTATATACAGGTAAATATATACAACATTAGCAGCTGACCAGAAAAACAGTACAGTATGAGATTGTGCATAGATATAATTAGAGTGGGACAACTGGGTATATGAATTATTAGAAAGACAGTTAATGGTTAAGGTATCTGAGGACCGCAAGCGGTCGTTTTCGATTGCTGTCAGAATTATAATCATAATTTAGCACTGGTATGGTGCTATTATTAACATTTGGTATATTTTTGAAAAATTTATCTGCAAGACTAGCAACGTAAACATATACAGTTGGTACCTCAAGCTCTTGGTGAATTGCCGAGTTTCTGACGAACCATCGACAATTCGCCGCTTGTCTGAGTAAGATATTCTGCAGTATTTGGAGTTTCTTTACATTAGTAAAACTAGCATATCCCCAAACAGGACAGGCATGTGAGAGGATGGGACGCGAAAGGGTCTTGTAAATGAGTAATTTGTTGTCAATAGAAAGAACTGAGTTCCGGTCAATTAAGGGGGTAAGTGTTCGTTTACGGACACGAAACTTGGCTATAATCTGTGTGCTTTCGTCAGACACTAGACTAAAATTTCCACAACCGTAAATAAGAGGAATCTACAAAAGGCCTTAGGAAAAAATTCCCGATAGACGGAGGAAGATTACATAAGATAACGGTAAATATGCTGTATTTTGACAGTCAGCGTGTTCAACAACATAACGGAATTCTTTGATAAAAAAAACATTAAATAGTACCTTTTATTTATTTAGTATTAGTTTTAAGCTTTCAGATTTTTCAATTAAAATAAAAGCTTTTAGCAAAACGATTTTAAACGTAATAGAAGTTCGAAATATGACATTAAAATACATTTTCTTAATGGTTTAAAATAATACGAATCGTCTTAGACAGAATAAAGAAAAATAATATAAAAACTAGTACAGTTAACAAATAAAACTTTATACTGATTGCAGTCTATTTGGATCTGTACTCAACTTTGTCAAAGCTGGATTCAATTCTTTGACTTTTTTAATCATTTTGTTAAAGTTGCACAATTTTCCAGCAAAACTTCAATCTGCATAACGGTTTCATCTATTGTTATATTTTGAAGTAATTTTCATGCTGTGTGCCTTTATCCATCTGATGTTTATAGCACAAAGTTATCATTTTCATATAGAAAATCTTATTCCAACTACGGTGCCGTATTAACGAATGTATGAATGTAATTCATGCGATGGGATATTTTAGGATGTTTTCCCCTTGAAGTTATTATGAAATATTTATCATTATGATTAATAGAATTATCAACAAGTTTAACAAATAACCTCTTCATCTTTCCAGGTCTTGCCACTTCCTGGCCATGCAGTAATTTTGGGAACAAAACTAACTGTAGCGGTAGTTATAATGGCACTTATTTTTTCATTATTCTACCAGATTATAAGGTAAATTTGCAATATATTATTCCCAAAAGGATTCATCCAGAACAGAAGAAACTGGAAAAGTCTCTTCTCACTAAGAAAAATACTTAAAGAAACATGAAAATCCATACAGCCAAATGTATGATGATCGTCGTCCCACCATAAAACTCATCACTCACTATACGATGCAATTTTGGCAACTGGTTTATTCTTAAACCTCATCATCTTCAGAGAAGCAATTGTTTGCCACATATAATGTGATAGCTAATACATGGGACTATGAACTTGGAATAGATGAAACTTAGAGAAAATTCTGTTATCATTTTATAGTATACATCACTGAGAGATTTTAAACTTGGTTCACATTTCATAATTACATGTATATAACATTAAATTTTATTTATGTAACATTGTATGTTATATGTTTTGTATGATAACTGTAACTAAATGTAGTACTTCATTCTATATTTTCAGTTGCTATTTTTGTGTGAAGATTTTAATGATTATAAACAATCATTCTTAATCATCAAGGCTTAAATTCAGCCGGAGCCAAATTCCACTTTATCTCTGGTTTTCAGTGAAGTCGTAATTTGAGTTAAAAAGTTTGGTTCTGGTATTTAAATTTTTTTAATTAACTATTTATCATTAATTTAATGAAAAACTAAGAATTAAATTTTCTGTTTAGATTTTATTTCATTCTAAATAATAATTATTTAATATTTTATTTATTTATTTTTTTGTTCACCTTTGCTGACAACCTTCTACAGGGATTTGGCTTTTCTAATTTTTGAAGTTAGCCTTAGTTATGATCCAATAAATTTAAATGCCAGAAAGTAACTTTTTTGTCTACATTTTTCAATTATTATACAAGAAAAAAAGAACGTCTTGGAAATACTGCAATTTCCTTTTCTTCGCTTCTACCCAAATAATTTTTTATTTAAATAAATAAGTGAAAAACTCTTTGAAATACTAATTCAAATGCAGAAAAAGCCTGAAGCAAAAGAAAAGTTATCACTGACATTTATAAGCATAAATTCTAAACATGAAATGTTATAATCATCAAGTCTGCACTTTGAGCATAATTTTGTAATGGAAAAAATACAGTCTGGAAATTCAGTTTAAGTACAAAAGAAGAAAGCCAGAATTTTGCCTGTAATTCAAACTTTTAAGAACATACTTTACAATTAGCTTTTCTCTTATTCACATTTAGAAACAAATTCACAAGAATGATTATTACATCGTATCAAAAAGGATCCTGACTTATATGTAATAAGATGAACTTGTATTTCACCTGGCTTACTATTTGCAATTACTTGAAATTGATATTTGAACAAATAATACCGACAAATCAATTTAAATAATATTACTATAATTGATTGGCATTTTGTAACTGGTATTGTTATCTTGAAAACTAAATATGTTCATTTTGTGAATTTATATATCATAATTTGTTTTCCGACAGATTTCAGCCTTATACAGATTCTGTCTGCAGCAACTTTTCTTATTATTTAAGACTGTTTGATCTGCATTGCATTAATTTATATAGAAAATGGATGTTTTTAATTGTTTTATTGTTAACATTTTGGATTTTTTTAAATAATTTCATCTGATTGTTTTTCTTAAAATAGTAATTACTTTGCACAAAACAATTTAAATATGCACTTATATATTTTTTATGTATTTTCTCTAACTTCAGTTGATGGAAATAAAAAAATTATATAATAAACATGAAAATCAGTTTTTGATTATTTTTTAAACTCAAAGGATCACACATAAATATAAGCCAAATTTATAAACTACTTCAGAATTTACTTATTAAATTTAACTTGCGCATTTTAATATTATGTTGTTAAATATGCAAATTAATTCAAATCAATTTCACATTACAGTACAAATTCCGTAATCCGGACTCGTCGGGACTTCGGCGATTCAGGATTAGGTTTTTTTTTTTTTCCGGGAAATAGATCATTAATTTAAATCTGGTAAGATGGCATGCAGAAGTTATACAGTTAAAAATATGAAACCGTAATTTATGAAATAAAAGAGTATCAAAATTCACACACACACAAAAAAAAAAGTCTTAATATTTATTTGTTTACTTTATTAAACATTTCTTTCAATGTAAGTTGTTTAAGTTGCTTAGTTTTTTGTGCTAATACTTTCTCTTTAATCTATAAACAGACATAATTTTTTGTTCAGTTACAAAGTTCCACTGTTCAAGTCCTGTAATTGCTGTGTTGAGAATACCGACTAACTTATCAATCAAATTTTTTTGTTTTCAATAACCTTTGTCACTTTCTTCACTATCAGAAGCGGCATTTTCTGGATCTAGAACCATACTATAGATTTCACCATCCGTTAATTGACTGATGATTGGGGCATTATCGTCGCAATGAAAAACTTCTGTTATATCATCTTCATTTATTACTGCTTCTCCATATTTCTTTAAAAAATCCAATAACTGGAAAATTTCACCTTTAGTTTGCGATGTCCGAAAACCTTCAAATTCACGGCTAGCATCTTCATCATCCTCAAAATGAAATATGGTAGCTGGCCATAAATTATGCCAAGTATTTCTTAACGTATCTGGAGACACATCCTCTCAACGCGCTTTTGCATCGTAAAGCATAAAAAAAATTGTGGATTTGAGGTCCGGATTCTAGATCATTCCGGATAATGGACGTCCGGATTACGGACTTTGTACTGTACTTTCTTTTCGAACAGCTTGATGTAACAATATATTTTTAAAAACAATAGACAAATTTTTATGACGGAGACCTGAGCAAATCTTTTACTTAATTCATTTTATTTAGACAAATCTAAGGCTTTGTATAAGTGATAGTTTTTGTCCCCTATATTTAGTTACATCATTCCAAAAAAATATGCCTTTCTATGGAAAATCATTGGCACTGGATGTTTATGACCAGGGTGATCACTTCCAATACTTTTGGGAACCATAAATTTACCCACTTACATAAATCCAATTCATTTTCTCTAGAAAAACACTTGGCGCCCACCAGCGGCCAAGCGGTAAAGTCGCTGAACACTGGTAGTTCGGTCTGAGGTTCGAATCCCGCGAACGGGCTGGCTGTATGGGTGTTTTCGTGGTTTTCCCCATGTGTAACGTGTATATGAGTCAGTTTCCCTTAGAAAGTCCTCCACGAAGGCATCCCTCCTCTTAGGCAGATAGCCCTAGTGTGCTTTGCCGTAATTAAATACACCACACCACACACACCACCTAGAAAAACATTTGACAGCTTTTGTGGGTGTGGGTTTTTCTTTTCTTAAGCCCATCTCTGATTCGCCATTCAGTAATTCGCCTGAGTATACTTGGTGTTCTCAAAGACTTAACATATGATTAGCCTGAGCACTACAAGTAAATATCTCCAGTTTTCACAGCAAAGTATATTTTATTCCTTCCGATTAAAGCAACCACAAGAGAAGCAACTGCAATAATTTTTCACGTCAGGGAGTTCTGTTCAAGAACAAAACTGCGCCTCTCATCTTCAGATGCTTTAGAAATTATTCAGATGTCGACACAGTAGGAATGCGGTTTCACACAACAGGCTTCCTACTTCGCAGAGAAGGGGATGCAATGTTGGCAAACTAACTATATTTTAACCGGATGACAAAATTTTTCTGTCCAATTTTTATTATAACTACTTAACCACTGCAGAATGAAATTCATTTCATTGAGGGGTTTAAAAAGGACTTAAGCTCCATCCAAATTTTGTGTTTGAAGGAAAGACAGACATGCATTCAGAACTTAGAATCGATTTTTAAGGCTTACTTACTATTAAAGTAAAATTTTTGAGATAAAAGAATGTTCTGCTGTAATTGTGTCTCAATTACATAAAAGAAGTAACCTCTTATTTAGGGCTCTGATTCAACTTACAATTTATCTCAAAAACTGAGATGCACCAGAGCCATGCTTTGGCACAATTTAAGCATTGGTCTAAGTAGGGGTCCAAGGCTTACGAATTAATTAACCAAGGAGTGGAACCTTATAACTTCATATACTACATTTTTAATACAATAAGGTAAAATCTACTTTTCAGAATTTTTGCTTTATCACAAATGGATAAGAAATTACTACTTTTCTCAAATTTAGCAGCACAGTTAGCAGCACTGCTTTTATGTTTGGAAACAACTTAATGTATATAAAAAATTTCTGTGCATACAGAAATTTTGCATTATGATGGAATGCTATTAATGAGAACAGGGAGATTGTTAAAACCAGAACTGTGAGAAATTTAATGGGAGAACCTGTTTACTAGAGGAAAGGAAGAATCAGATGCTCTGTTGTCTGATAGTCATGATCTGCAGATGTACACTGCAAAAAAAAAAAAAGGTACAGTGCCTATATCTGCCGTTCTACTGGGCCGATTGACAAAATTCAAACTGCGTTTTTCATGTCTCGAAAGCGCGACTTAGGATATATATTAGATTTATATATAGCACTATTCTAACATAGGTATTTTGGCACAAAATCGGACTTTTTCTGAAATAACATACCAATTTTTTTCCATATTTCGATTCTACGACTCAAATTATGCCAGAATACCAAATTTTGTAAAAATCGTACGAGTAGTTTTTAAAATATTAGCTCTCAAAATTTTAGCTCCTCAATGTTAATTGAATTTGGCAAATATTAATTAATATCTCTTTTTTGACTTAAACTTTTTGATTTTTTCTCTCACATTTCGAAATTTAGGTTCATTCCAAATAAAATTTACCCATTTTTTGTGTTTTATTTTTTAAATTTCTATTTTTAAATAATTTTTATAAATTTTTCAAAAAAAATTTTGAATTATAACCTATAAAATTTTTACCATCATCTTAAAGTAGGTGTATTTTTAAGCATATCTGCAAAAAATTAGACTTTTTTATTCAAAATTTTCTAAGATATACACAAATTTACATATTTTCGCGTTTTGAAATTTGGCATATTTTTTTTGAGCGATAATAACGCCAAATGTGGTCTATAGATTTTTGTTACAGTGAATTGCCACAGCTATTTTTAACCTTAAATTTCAAGTAAAATTTTACGGAGAATTAATTATATGACATTTTTTCCCTCAATGATAATAAATATTTATTAATACTATATGAAAAGCTATTTTTTTAAATAAATTTTTAAATATTTTTTTAAATTTCTCTCTATCTTTTTTTTTTTTTTTCTTTTTAAATAAGAGTAAATTTTACCTTCGGCGTTTTATCGTCTGCTACTTTACTTCGTTTAAATCGAATTGTCTAAAACTGAGAATTTTCGTTTGATGTTTATTTGAATTTTATGACATTAACTGCATAATTTATTTCTAAACAAACTGATGCTTTTGAAGTGGCTGATACTATCATCCATATTTTTAAAGCACAGTATATTTTTATAGAAACATAAGATTTAGAATAATCGATTTTATAAAAGTGAAATTATGATATAAACATACAATCCTCTAGAGACTGAATTAATGGAAGTTCAATGATTATGTAGAAATGATCTGGAGCTACTTAATCGGCTGGATAAGTCAGCATGATTCTGTGGACAAGTAAGAATAATTATATAAACGACACCCAACATTCTGGATTCAATTAACAACGAGGATACGATGTTTATTAAATGAATTTAAGAAGTTTCAAAACATAAAAAATCAACTCATTTTTTATCCTAAAATGTATTTTTGTGCTTAGCGTATTTTCATTATATCCTTAAAATTCTAATTTAGAATGTAATTGTCAAGAACTGAATCCTAATCATCAGTAATATAATAAGTAATTATTACGGTTATTAATAAATCCTTCTTATAAAGTAATTGCAAATATTTCAAAAAACTTTCTGTCTGAATGCAAATATTTTTCTGTGCAAATATTTTTCATTTTATATTAATCAAGATTGCACACGATATTATTTATTTGCACTTAAATTCTTAATGTCAGTTCTAGTAGAAGTTACAAATCAATTATATTTAATTAAGGATTGGATTGGATTATTTAACTATGGCAAAGCACATGATGCCTTCGTGGAGGACTTTTTAAGAAAAACTGGCTCGTATACACGTCACACATCGGGAAAACCACAAAACACCCATGCAACCAGCCTGTTCGCGGGATTCGAACCTCGGACCAAACTACCAGTGATCAGCGCCTTTACCGCTCGGCCGTTTGTGGGCCTTTATGAAATGGAAGGCGATAACTTTATTTAAAATGATTGTCAGAAATACCTAAATGTTTCGAAAAGTTGGATACTTTTTAATATACTTTCAGAATGCTTAAAGAAAATAGGAAGAAAAAAAAAATTTTTCGTAAAATTTAGTTTATTGTATTTTTTTTTAATTTAAAACTTTTCAATGTTATGATATTTGATTCTTGCAATTTCAAAAATAAAATATTTGACTAAAATATGAATAACATTTTAAGAAACCAAATGTAGGATAAAATTGTGTAAAGCAATGGGCACAATGATAAAACTGTTTAAAGCAGTGTATGCAAGTCATCCGAAGTTAAAATGTCGGTTATACATCTCTCTTATTTATATATATCTTTTCTGAACGGAACATTGAAAGACGTGTAAAACTGTGCTTTACTGTATTTTCTCTTTTAATATAGTATGCAGTTTTCAAACTCATCGTAGTCTGAATTACAAAGTATTCTTCCGAAAGAAACGCAATTCAAATAAATAAAATAAAATTCTGGAAAATTGATATTAATAACTTTATTTAAAATGCTCAGTTCGAAGGAATAAATAGAAAATTTTAAAACAATTATCTGAAAAACAATGCAACACAAACAATTAAAATAAAAGTATAAAAATTTTAAAAATTACCTAAAATAATAACTATGACAAAAAATATATATAAAGAAAACTATTTGAAAAAAAAAATAAACGCTGCACCTTTATTTACGCAGTTCGAATAGGTAAATAGAAATTTTTAAAACAGTTATTCGAAAAAAAAAAAAAAAAAAAAAAACACGTGCAACTTAAACAATTAAAATGAAATTCAAAAAAGAAAAATTACTTAAAATAATAAGTTATAATTAAAATATAATATAAAGAATATTATTTGGAAAAAAGGAACAATGGTGACTTTTTTTCCCTCTCACGGGAAAGGAAACTAGGTTGCCATATATTAAGAAGTTTGCCAAGTGAACTATTCTTGGCGCAACTGGAAAAGCACAACATAAATTTGTGAATTTCTCCGTAAATTTCACTCCAAATTTTACAAAATTTCATATTTAGGCGTAATTTGAGTTCTAGAATCGAAATATGTAAAAAAATTGGTATGTTATTTCAGAAAAAGTCCGATTTTGTGTCAAAATACCTATGTTAGAATACTGCTATATATAAATCTAATATATATCCTAAGTTGTGCTTTCGAGATATGAAGAATGCAATGTGAATTTTGTCAATCGGCCCAGTAGAATGGGAGATACAGAACTGTCCCCCCCTTTTTTTTTTGAGCAGTGTACATTTTTTATAGCTGTGGTGGGGAAAAGATCAATTACAACAAGCACAGTTTTGAGATGCGACTTGTAACCTGAGAATGGACATGAGATTCTGAAGATGACTGTTTTCTCTTCCCCTTTCTATATAGTCACATCCGTTAGGAAAGTGTATACAAGCGATTACCATGGGAATATAGCACTTAGCTTGCGTTCAACGGCTGCACATCAAATTTGACCACAGGTTGTTTATGAATTTGTGTACATTCCAAAATCAAAAGAATTTTTTTTCCTCTGTTGTAAACTATGGATGCAGAGTTATTACTGTGTATGATATTAAAATATAAAAGACTTCATTTAGGGACTAAATCAAGCTTTTTTTAGCTTGTTTTTTTTAACAAAGAAAAACTCAAACTACAGTTAAACATTAAAATAATGTAATTCATAATATTTCACCTCGTAGATAAAAAATACAACCAAAATAACATTATTAAAAATTTGATAAAACAGGATTTGAGAAAGGTAGCTACAGGCTTTATTCTTTAAATAATGATAACGCATAAATATTAATTTCAAGTTTTGTCTGCACTAGAGGCTGAGAAAACATTAGCAGAGTAGAAATGTTTTTTACTTATTAAGGATTCCTAAATGTAGTCCATTTATTCTAGCACGTTCGCAAGGCTACATCAATCTTGAGTTCCTTAACCTTGTTAATTTTAGTAAGACCTATTAGGGAATTAGATATTTAAATCTTTCCAAGAAGCATTCATCTGCCAAATGAATACTTTCTTATATAAACCAATAAGAAAACAAATTAAAGAAAGATCCAGGCTTTGATGGTATCAACAATGACTTAGTTTTTGTCACAGAAATTAGGAAAATTCTTTTAAGCAAAATATCTTTCCAAATAAAGCACCAAATGCATTAAAATGCAGCATTTAAAATACTAATAAGCTCTTCTTTCATATCCTAGAGCCATCTCCAAAGTGTTCAAAAATGCATTGGAAAAAGTAAAGGCAATCTTAAACCTTGCTTAATTAAATTGTTATATAAATTAACATCTAATTCGATTATGTTAAATTTTTTGCAATGATGTCTCTTTATGATGTTAAATATCTATTCTTTGCATCCAATTACATTACCTCTATAACACATATGTTAGAAAAAGTGTTATAATGTAAAAATTACAGATACAGGATGATGTCATTTGCATGAAGCCCACGGAACCCAGAATATTTGGGAAGAATTTTGCAGGAGCCCTATTAATTACTCTTTTCATTATATATCATGAACATCAATAAGCAACAAAAGTAATCCCTCTTCTTTCCAAAGATCTCACTGACAGTCATTGTGGTTCCTCTTCTTGGTTGCTGACCTCAAATGAGAGAGAAGAATGACTACTTAATGAGAGGCATCACCGAATGCCATGGACATTGGTTTATGAAAAACACGGCTGGAAGTAAAAAAGGTGATTCCTTAGATGGAAGAAAATTAAAAATAAGGACTTGATCATGGAAGCAGGGAGCGGAGAAGGTAATAAACTGGTCAAAAGAGAAACATAGAGAAGCCAACAAATTAAGCAAGGAAGAGACAGAGTGGTGAACAATGACCAACTCCAGGACGAGAAAGAAACCCCTGACCATCACTTTAAAATTTTAGGAGCAATAATATATCATCAATACTGGCATTAGCAAGTCAAAAACCCCAAATAACATATGCCATTTTTATGAGATCTTACAGTATGCTCCACATTATTCTTATTAAGGCTTAACAGTAGGATGGATGTGAAACGGTATCTTTAGTGACTAAACTTCTAAAACTAAAACTAAATTGTTGAAATGAATTTCATTTGCGGTTTTGCAGCTGAGGATGGTGGTTCGGTAAAACCATCGAAACTAGTCCTGCGAAAATTTTGAAAATGTAACACTGATTTTTGTTGTTTGACTTCTGAATTAGTATTTATTCAGAGTGTTACTGTGTCTTGATTTCTAGGTTCGTTATAATTTTGTAAGGACAGAAAAAAAGAATATGCCATCTGTAGCAATGTACAATAAATTAAAGAAGATATGAATTGTTATGACACTACTTATAGATAGATACACACACATTCATTTGTGAAAAGATGATGATTTAATATAAAAATTAAAATTTCAAAAAGTTTTTGCATATTTACGCTTAATTTTGCACAAGATACTCCTGAAGCAAAACATTAACTGCAAGTTCACATACCAAATAATTATATTTGGTATATATTAAACACTTTAAACTGAAATAATAATAAACTATAAAAATATAAAATCTTTTTAGACTAACTAAAACTAAAAACATTTTTAGAATAATGTATTTAAAACAATTTACACAAAAATAAAATTTTATGATTATTTATTAATACCTGAAACAGCATGGCATATTACAAATACCTCAAAAGTGGATTTATACAATTTATAAACATAAGATGAGATTACATGAAAAATATTAAATATACAGATATATCTCAAATTCTAATAAAAATATTCATTTTACTCACAAAACAGACTGCGAAATGACATGCCATGATGATTTGTACAAAATTTGAATATACATAGTATTTGTACTTGTGTTTACAATATACCACTCAGAGTACACTGTAGGATAAACTACATAACCAAAATGTACAATAGAAAACTTTGAAAAATTTCAGTAACATGGCTAAAAAAAATTCAACAGAAAATGGTCTCATTTGGAAACGGAACCCGTATCACAAATGAAATGGAATCCAGTGATGCCCCAAATACTTTGAGAATGAAGGGATATATTTACACGACCCCATTCTGTTAGTACAGTTCTACTCAATAGTTGGGTTTTGGGACACTGAGCATTTTGAGTTCTATCCACAGAATACATTTTATATACAGTTTTAGCTTCTAAATGGCAAGGCTGGCGCAGACGAATTAAAGCCTCGTAGCGCTTGCGATCATTTAAATGCAAACCTTCTTTCCAGGATGCAGATGCTAAATTTATGGTGAACATATTACTGGAGGCAGTAGCACTTTCCTTTACTAAAGTCAGAGGAAAATGATGGGGAAACTCTGAAACAGCAACAACAAATTTTATTCCAATTATATATAGAGATGTATCGAATGAAAAACGTACACAGCAGAGTGAATCTGCAATGAGCTCGGTGTATTCTTGATCAATCTGGAAACCTAGGCAATAAGTATATGCCATAAGTGTGTCTGGTACACATAAAGGTAACCGATTTCTATTATTAGGTTCTACACATGATAGAACAGCTGCTGGGAGTGCACTTTTTTCAGTATCTGACATGTCATCAAAACAAACATATTTCAAGAAAGGTTCCAATTCATGTAAAATGTTTGCTTCAGTGACTTGATTTCCCATCCTGCAGCATTGCATTGGTGCCCATCTAAGTAATGCTTCAAAAACCATTAACTCACTTCCTATATTCAAACAGGGATTAGTAACAATATCCATAACGGAATCTTTGCTGAGCATCTCAAAAGCTTTGCTGCGTAATACAACAAAGCCTGCATCTAAGATTAACCTTAGACATTTTTCTTTTAAGGACATAAGTGCATACATACAGGCTTCGTTATAGATATAACAAACATTGCACACTGTAACGACACTTTCCAGAAATCTTCCACAGTATTGGACAAGTGGATCCACTTGGTATTTATGTGAAGCTCGTAACAATTCTATTGCACAATTCCAGTTTTCAAGATGAACTCTACCACAATAGATGTACCTATAAACAAAGAATCAAAAGTCAAATTATAAGCTCTTTTATAAAATAATGAAGAATCCTTATGTATGTGTAACACTCCATGGAGAGATGACACCTAGGGAGATAACATTTTGAATACATGTTGTCCTTCCTTCAAACATATGTGCTTTAAAGCTTAAATTTTGAATTTTTTTTTTAAATTTCAAGTTTCATGCAAATTTAATGAATTCTTGATAAACAAATAGAGTGATTTAGAATTTTATTTGCTGTCTTTGTCTGAAGTAAAATACTTCTATATTCTACGTGTCAACATATTGCTGTTCAGCAAAGCACAGGATTTTAACTTTCAAATTTAAACTGTCTGTTAATGATTAACGAAGTACGCAATTCAAAAGCAATAGACACAGTTTTAAGTATTATTTTTTACTTTTTTATTTGAGTGATTTAAAAAAAAGCATTTAATTCATAACATATCTAATTAATAATTTTTATCAAAATTTTCAGCTTTTTTTCTGAATAATAATTATTTTAGACTTGAAGTGCAAATGGCTTGTATTAAAATAAATGATGCAAAACATTTAAAAATTATACAGTATAATCCATGAAAACTTAACTTTCCTCTGGCAATAATATGACAAAATGGACACTCTCTTTTTGATGCAATATGCAGAGAAAATGCATGACACTGGCAATGCAGGTGGGGTAATTTTTTGTGGGCACCCTCTATAACAAGGTTTCTTAAAATGTGGGTCACCACGAAGTTTAGCAGTTTTGATATTTCTTTAACTTATCATAATAATTTTACAATTAGTAAATATTTTTACACAATGTATCTGAAAATAAATAACGATAAGACAATACAGACAAAGAACAAAAAAAGAAAAAGTTTCAATACATTCTTTTTATAATAGAAACGTTCATTTTCCTTGCTTTGCACGTGACGCAGTCATTTCATTTATTACTAATTTAAAATGCTCACATTGTTCTATGTCTTAAAGTTAGAAATTAAAGTTAATGGCCTAAAACTGAAGTAGTATATTACAGTACAAGTGAAAATACTGACAGTTTCACTCACACATGTGTTTGATTTGCACAATACTTATGACGTCCCACAAAATTTTTGTAAATAATTATGGGGTCCGGGGGGTAGCAAAAAACTCTCAGCAATAAAAAGGGGGGGGTCGCAACTGAAAATAATTTAAGAAACCCTGCTGTATAACAATAATCAGATAAGAAACACAGAGTTACAAAATTCTTCATTTTTAAGCAAGAAGACTATAATGCATGCTTACTCTGATTCTGCAAAAAGTAATACAGTCAAAAGTCGTTAATCTGGACTCGTTGGGACTTCGGCGATTCCGGATTATCGATTTTTCCGGATTATAGATCATCAGTTTAAATCTGGTAAGTTGGCATGCAAAAATTATAAAATTAAAAATATGAAACCGTAATTTATGAAATGAAGAACAATTATGATCTAAAGGGTATCAAAATTTACAAAAAAAAAAAGCTTAATATTTATTTGTTTACTTTATTAAACATTTCTTTCAATGTAAGTTGTTTAAGTTGCTTCGTATTTTATGTGATAATACATTCTCTTTAATTCTATAAACAGACATAATTTCTCGTTCAGTTACAAAGTTCCGCTGTTCAAGTCTTATAATTGCTGTGTCGAGAATACCGACTAATTTGTCAATCGAAATTTTTTCGTTTTCAATAACCTCTGTCACTTTCTTCGCTATCGGAAGCGAATTATAATGACGAGGAATTTGATTTAAATCATATCAAAGACGGAGTACATCAAGATGAAATACTACATTTAGTACAGAATTATAAGCCAAATAAAATAAAAGCATCTACCCTGAAGATAAGGATAGTGCTGACAGATCAACTTCCAATTCATTGCGTGCCGCAGCGTTAAAGATAAACAAAGGATATGCTTTTATCCATTTTTTTTGCAGCAATTTCACTTTTTGTTTAATAGACTTTGAAACATACTTTTGATATTATCTTTTGATCTTTTGGTCATAAAAGAAGAGAAAACTTTAGTACTCAGCCACCATCTCATTCTTTCTCACCCATGTTGGCTTTAGTTTTCCACATGCAAATTTTGATCGGAGGTAAGCTAACGTGGTTGCCGCTGATTGGCCGATGACGTCAAGATCGGCGGGTTGGCTGAGTATAATATATATGTACGCCGGTATCGGCGAATGTCTTGTTCTCTTGTGTGATTATCAGTTAGCATTATGCTAGTTTTTCTTTCACTTAATGATTTTAAATGTAAAGGCTACAGTGTTAGCTCTTTTATTTTATTTACGGAATAAAAGCATGAATTTTATTTAGTTTAGTCTTAGCTTTATTTAAGGGAAGCAAAATATGCTTTGCCTTTATCACCACTGCCAACAGGGTTATGGGCCCAGCGCCAACAGCTAATCAGTCATCCAGTTCAACTCAGCATTGAAGGAATGTAGGTGAAGAGGGCCGTTATCCACGAAAAGAAGCTGACCTGTCTTAGAAGTTTGTTCAAGTCGTTGTGCTCACACTTAATTGAAGATGTCATTACTACCTGAAGGTTTTGAGTTGTTAAACCATGACAACTGGGATCGATGGAAAGTCGACATGAAAATGCTGTTACTGGATATAAATTGTTGGAGCTTCATAGAGGACAAAGAAGAAGAATTACATAAAAGTGCAACAAGGCGTGAAAAGCAGGAGTTCACACTGAGAGAGAACAGAGCCTTCACTACATTATATTACGGAATTAAAGCTGAGTTCAGGCCGCTGATACAAGAATGTTCAAGTGGTAAGGAAGCATGGGAAGTTCTACAGAAGCAATTCGAACTCAAAACAAGAGCAAGGATAATTCAGTTACTGGATGAATTTTTTAGTATTAGATATACGCCAAATGAAGAAATAGGATTATTCATCGCAAGAATAAGAATGACTGCAAAGAAGTTGGCTGAAGCTGGTCACAACTTGGCAGATCTTTTTAAAGGATTCCAGGCAATAAGGAGATTACCCCAGGAATACTCCGGCATTGTACAATTGATCTATAGGTGGAAGGACGAAGATTTTACGCTGGAAAGAATTGCTGAAGAGCTGGTAAGGGAAGAAAGCCGACTTCGCCAGGTAATTGCCGATTTAGAAGACAGCAAGGTAAGCGTGTTTAATACTATTTAAATGCAGGGAAAGATAAAAGTTGAAAATAAAACTAAATCTAAGAAAAAAAATGGGGAATATGGGAATAGGACCTTGTTTCAGATGTCATAAATTTGGGCACTTAATTGCTCAATGTAAAGAAAATGTAAGTAAAAATCAGAAGTTTAAAATAGACGATAAAAATGGACAGTTTAAAGATAAAGAATTAATGTTAGTAGAAAATTATGTAACAACTACAGATAAAGGAGGTAACGCAGATAAATTTAATTGGGTCGTAGATACTGCAGCTACAACTCATTTCTGTAATAATAGAAATTTAATGACAAATTTCGAAGAAATAAACGATATACGTATGTCTTTAGCTGTAGGAAAATTGTGAAAGTAAAGTACTAGGAAAGGGTACTGTCAAATTTGCAGTAAAAGTAGGCAATCGAAATAAATTGGATTGAGTTAGATAATGTGTTATATAATCCAAATCTAAGAAGAAATTTATTATCGGGAGCAAGGTTAGAAAAGGCTGGTGCTCATTTTGTGATTTCAAAAGGGAAGATGTGGATATACTTTAATAATTGGGATAGATTATGCTACGCTAAACGATATGACGGACTTTATCACGTAAAACCATTTAGATATGCAACAGGTAAAAGGGAAGCTGGTTACGGTACAGAAATTGGAAAGTTAAATAAAGTAGACGATGCAATGCTATGGCATCGGAGATTTAGCCACGTAAATTTTGATTATATTAAGAAAACTAGTAAGAATCAAAGCGTGAAAGGGTTACCAGAAATTTAAAAACAAATAGAGAGGTGTAAATCGTGTATTATTGCTAAATCTAGTAGAATAACTTTTAAATCTGTTCCGAAGAGATCGGATAAACCATTGCAGTTGGTTTATTTAGACGTTTGTGGCCCACTACCAGTTCCATCTAAGGGTGGGAGTAAAATATTTCTTGCTATTGTAGATGACTATAGTAGATTAGTAACAGTGTATTGTATGAAAAATAAAAACGAATCGTTCTACAACTTTAAGAATTATCATAGGCAAATGGAAAGACTGACGAATAGAAAATTAATAAGTATACGCACCGATAATGGTGGGGAATTCTGTAACAGGCAATTCGAAGGGTACTTAGCCGAAAATGGAATTAGTGTTGAACGCACAAACGCGTACACCCCAGAAGAGAACGGTGTGTGTGAACGTTTTAACCGAACGGCATTAGACGCAGTTAAAGCTATGCTTAATGATGGTAAAAAAATGGGAAAAGAATGGTGGGCAGAAGCTCTTGGCTGTTTCGTACATACGTGGAACAGAGTATGTCATAAAAGCAACCGAACCCCTTATGAAATGTTCCTAAATAGAAAACCCAGTGTTGTTTATTTTAAAATATTTGGTTGTAAAGCCTATGTTGGCATGCCAAAACAGATTAGGAAATAAATTACAAATGAGGTGCAAAGAAGGAATCATGGTAGGATATGCGAAGGAAACTAGGGGTTATAGGATATGGCTGCCAGAAGAACGCAAATTAATAGAAACCTGTAATGTGAAGTTCGATGAAAAAACTGTATGCAGCAAATGGCATCCTGGAACAGAAATCAAAACCTAAATTTAAAAGACTAGAGGAATCTGAGCTATTAGCAGAATCAGATGAAGAACAGGAAATTTCTAGAGAAGAAATAAAGTTGTCAGATGACAAATCTACTCCGAAAGAAGTATCAGACTTAAACTGGCAAAGAAAAGCAGTTAAAAGGCCAGATGGAACACGTACAGACATATATTATTATGTAGAGGGAACAGACACCCGTTTTAGATCCTATAATGATATTGAAAAGTATTGTGAGGCAAGAAATATTAAATATGAAAAA